ACTTTTTAATTTATTAATTATTTAATTAAGCTTATTTATTTAACAATAACAATAAAATTAATACCAATTTTTATATTTTTATATACATTTATGAGTAAGATATGCCCTTAACATATAATTTTAAGACGTAAATTAAAAAAATTCATTTAAAAATTTTCAAATTAAGCCCAAACAAAGTCAGGCTTTGATAAATTTATTTTTCAATTGAGCTAGGAAATGATATTGTTATTGGCAAAGAATTGGACCTTTTAGGAGAGCTAAAATTAGCTATATAATAGCCTCTAGCTTTTTTGGTTTTTTTTTTTTTCTAAGTATTTATAGTTAGAGTATCTTGAGTTAATTTTTGTGCATCTTGAAACTATTTTTTATTTAAATGATTTTAAAGATACATCTCTTATATCGACTTAGTATATTTAAAAAAATTAATTTTTTTAAGTGTTGACATTAAAATTTGAATCTTAAATTTGACATATAAAATAATACTTACTTACCAATGTATTTAACTCTTAAATCATACCCTTCATCATATGGTAAAACTTGAATGATTGGTCTAAGTATCTCGACTAGTTAGTAAATGTTTCTTTGGCTAAACTTCTAAAAATTCACCAAAGTGAAGAATGTTTTGTAAAACTTAAAAAATAATTTATTTAAAAAAATTTTCACAAATTTAAAAATTTAATTTAAAAATTTTAAAAATTCACTTTCAATCAAATTTAAGAAAGCTAAATATCTTTCTTTCTTGATTTCTTCTTTACATGGTCCTCAGTATGTTGATTATGTGGATAACAGCCCTTTATCTTGGAACTGAGCCTCCCCATCTATTGGAGATCCTGTATAGCTAGACTTCTATAAAATTTCCCTTTGATAAAAATTGATTCCTCATGTAACCGAAATGCTAATACATTGTAATTTAATTTTTGATTAAAAATATCACAAACAATTCAGATCATTAAGAACTTCTATATTAAAGAAAGAGGCATTTAATTATTGAAGGAAAAATCCAATCTATTCAATAATATATAGTCGAAAAGAGTGCTGCCTGCAGGATTCAAACAATTGCCAGCAGCTATATAATCAAACTGCCATACCAACAAGGGGTTGGATCAAGTGATAAACGGCTTGTTCCAGCTTAAACAAGATCTTGAGTTCGAGACTTTATGCACGCAGCAGCTTTCGCTGGGAGACTCACTCACCATTTCCAGGTGCGCGACGTGGGTTGGGTCCGGATTAGTCGGGGCAAAGCCCCGGATACCGGACGGGAAACCAAAAAAAAAAAACTGCCATTAAGAACTTTTATATTATACACTTAATTTTTGCAATATAATGATCATTAAACTAGAATGCTTTTATTCCTCTTTCCCTTCATGCTTACAGATAAGATTCTAATAAAAATGAGTGAAGGTTAGTAGATAAGTAGACATTTTAGTAATATGCCCATATGTGGAATAAAATCCTAACCATTTATCGAATTAAATCCCGAGTCCAAACTTCTGTAGATTATGGACATCATCTACAAGAGTTTCAAAGCGCACTGCTGGATTGGAGATTCACCTTCCAAACATAACTAAACATTCATTTGTTGGCAAAATTGATCAAATTACAAAATTTGGATTAATCCTCCCCTTTATGGAGATGAAAATTTGTACCAAAATATCCCCCCCCCCCCTTCCCACCCACCCCTCCCTTCTTTATAAATCTCAAAATTCATCATTGAATAAAGGATAGGTCCAATATTAACTTAGAAAAAAAAAATGAAGACACTTGCATTTGTTTTTATTCTTTCTTTTGCTCTATGTGGCCAAGCATTTGATTGTCAATTGAACCTCAAAGATCCTTACAAAGTTGAATATACCATCACCGTGGATCAGAATGGCAAGGGCAACTTCAAAACCATTCAAAATGCCATTGATTCCATTCCTACCTTTAATAAGATGTGGATCCGTATCTCCATTTTAACCGGAAGATATTTGTAATTCAAATGCTTCCTTCTTCAACTAACATTTACATCGTGCACACACATACATACATATTCAAGTAATAAATTTTTTATTTTTTAGTTTCTTTATTATAAAAAATAATTCTAATTTTGGGTTCATTCGGGTGGGTTTGATGTAGAGAGCAAGTTACAATCCCTGAAAGCAAGCCATGCATTTTTCTTGAAGGAGCTGGGAGCTCGTCTACTACTATTGAATGGGATGCTCATGCTGGTACTGATACAAGCGCCACTTTCACTTCATATCCTGAAAATTTTGTTGCAAAAGGCATTACATTCAAGGTAATGTGTCCATATATCAACCTCATGATGAGTAGGATCCCATTCTGGATCTCACTCATCTAAGGTTGAGATTATTTGAACAGGCGTTTAATACTTATTTTCCTTTTCATGTTTTGGTACAAGTGCTTAAAATTTTTTTCCTCAAAATTTATCGTTGATTTATCAGAATTCATATAATTTACGGGCAAAAAATCCCGTAATCCCTGCTGTAGCAGCTAGAATATATGGGGATAAATCAGCTCTGTACCATTGTGCTTTCGTTGGACTTCAAGACACTTTATGGGACACACAAGGGCGACATTATTACCACAAATGCTATATCGAAGGTGGAGTGGACTTCATTTGGGGCGCAGGCCAGTCTATCTTCGAGGTACTTCAAAACAATCCCTTCTTCTTAAAAGAAATTACTACACTTATCAGCTCATTATTAGAAATGAGGTTAATTTACTGTTATTATCTCCCGCAGAACTGTGTAATAAATCTTAACATAGGAACATATGCCCAAGATCGCCCAGCTGGAGTCATAGCAGCACAGGGGAGGAATTCATCAAGCGATCCTAGTGGCTTTGTGTTCAAAACCTGTATATTTGGGGGAGTTGGGAAAGCTAATATTGGGAGAGCTTATGGATATTACTCCAGAGTGATCATACACAAGTCCAACCTGACGGATTTTGTATTACCTGAAGGATGGGATGCTTGGAATAAAGAAACGCACGTCTAAGATCCTAATATTCCTCCGTATATATTTAATTAGCTTGACATTTTTTTTTCTATCTTAAATTACACAATGGAAAGAAATCCTTTCATAGTCTTAATTCACTCCACTTACATATCACACAACTTATTGAATTTAGAAACTCTTATTTCTACTGATATGTCCCTAGCATTTAATTTATGTTTAGTTTCACGCATTAAAAACTAAGTTTACCTTTTCTGTTTCTAAACAAGTTTTACTGGTTGCAGAGAAAGGCTAACGTTTGTGGAGGCAGATAACGTAGGACCTGGGGCAAACACTGATGGGCGTGTGAAATGGATCAAGAAACTCAGTTATGAAAGCCTGAAATACTTCCTGGACATTTCTTTCATTGACAATGAAGGATGGCTTGCGAAATTACCTAATGTTTTTTAAAAACGATTCTTTGTGGTAACTACATGGTATGTAATATCCTTGATTGGGGAATAATATCTCATTATATTTATTAAGAACATGAAAGTATAGCTGTATAGGTGATGGTTCATTCCTCAAACTAAGTAATTCCTGTTAGAAGACGTGTTTCCCTTGACACAACATGAATATCCCACATAAAATTAATAGGCAATAAGTGGAATAGTCCATATCATATATATTCAAGACACATTTTTTTTTTTTTAATGTGAGATTTTCCACATGTTCTCTTTTTTGTAACAATTTAATTCCAAAGCTTATAGAGATAATTCCTAAAAATAGTGGTTTCAAAAAAATACTTTGTTATAGAAAGGATTAGCCCCTGGAGTGCACAGGTTAGCCCCTAAAAATAGTGGTTTCTCTATCATTTGTCTAATAGGTATGATATGGACAAGGTGCTGCAAAAAGCACCATGGAATTTCAGCAGTTGTTAGGTTATTTTGAAACATTTCTCTCACAATTTAATCTAGATTCGCTTTTATGATTTGTCTTTACCTCTCTTACCAATACAATATCTATCAATGATCATTTTCCCAAAAGTAAAAAAAGAGTGATTAGGAAATTTCAATAGTGGTAAAGTTGGGAAAAAAAATGAATTTAATGCATTGTTTAAAATGAAATTTGATAACTAAATTAGAATACTCATTTATAGAAATTATGACATTTAAATTGGAATCGATGGAATAAAAATTTTGATTCAAATTTGGGTTTTGAGATTTTGATTTTCGAAAATCAATTAATTTTGGAAAATTATGTCACATTGGGAATTAATTCAAAATTTTTCATTTAAAGCCCAAACAAAATCAGGCAATGATACATTTATTTTTCAATTAAGATAGGAAATGATATTGTTATTGGCAAAGTATTGGACCTTTTGGGAGGGCTAGAATTAGGGCCTGTTTGGTATAGCGGTTAAAATTTAGGGGATAACGGATAGCAGATAGTGGATAGCAGATAGCGGATAGCAGTAACGGGTAACGGGTGGCGGTTAGCGAATGGCGGATAGCAGAAAGTAGGTAGCGGATGGTAAATAACAAATTCGATAAATATAACTGTTTGGCTATACAATGATTAGCGATTGTTATTTAACATTAAATGACTAATAAGAACATGTTTAAAAATAAATAAGTATATTTTTTATTATTAAAATTATTAATTTTATAAAAATAATAATAATAAAATTTTTATTATTAAAATTATTAATTTTATAAAAAAAATAATAATAAAATAAAAAATAAATAAAATTAATTATAATAATATAATTACACTCTCATTTTTATTTTATTTTTTTAAAAGTATATTATTTTTAAATAAAAAATGAATCATTTTGTCTAATTAACAAATTTTGTCTTTTAAGATAATATATTTTTTAATTATAAATTAATGTACAAAAAAAATATTATAATCACTTAATGTTATTAAAGGTAAAAAAACAAAATTGAAATTTATTAGATAATTATTAATTAAAAAATGTAACCACAAATTAAAAAATTAAAATGGATAAATTTGTAAATAAAATTAAAAAATTTTAATCCGTTGGTGGTCTGGTACAAAAAGTTACATAAACTAAATTTTTCAATCCACTAGCGGTTTGGACTATAACCGTTATCCGCTAAATAAAAATTTAACCAAACACCTTATTTATAGCGGTTTCAAAATATATAAATTTATCAAACACCTATATTTAGCGGTTTAGATAAAACCGCTATATCAAACGGGGCCTAAGCTACATAATAGCCTTTGGTCTATGGTACAACTTGAATAAAAGGACTAATTTTTTGGTTCAGTTTAATGGTCATATAGTTTTTTTTTTTTTTTTTTTTTGGTTTTAAACAGAAATACGCCAAATTAAAATTTTAGTTGGATTATGATTATCTTAAAACCTCATAAATCAAAAAAAACTTTCAATTTAATTAAATTAGTAAAAAGAAATTAGTTTAATCAAAACATCAAACCAAATTGAATTTTTTTAAAAAAATTAATTTTAATTTAAAATTTAATAAAATTATGAAATTTGGCTAAAACTTAACTAAACCAAAAAATTTTGAATAACCAAATCAAAATTTCAAATTATAATTAGGTTCAAGTTTGGTTTTCAAGATAGCAATTGAATAATTTTGGTTAATTGAAAATTTTTTGATTCATTGATCGAATTAAAGTGACATTTAACCCTAATTGTAACTTTATAGTACCACATGATATTATATTTTTTTATTAACAAATAAAATATTATTGAAGAATTACAAAAAGTTATCTCCAACCCATTTTACATCGACACAAAATGTCAAAATAAGGATTTCTATTTTAAAAACTACATGTAAACATTGCAACATCCTATTCTAGTCAATTGCTTTAGCACGCTCCAAGGGATTACTTGACCATTCATGTAAAGAAAATGCAAATCCCCTTGCCTTTCCTTTTAACCAGAGAAATGTTCTAAATTGAATGGCTTGAAACGTCCTTTCCACTGATGCCTCTTTTTTTCTTTTTTTGGAAAGCAAAGGTATTTTATTATGTGAATATAAGAGGTACTCAAACCTGTAAATATCAATCTCTAAAACTAATGGTAGATAATGGGGATAACACAAAAAACAACCCAAAACAAAAAGGCAAAACCCTCAAATCCACCCTCAAAAAATATTAGTAGGGACACATCCACCCCTCAAAAAAAAGCAAGAACAAATTGCCCCTCCAAATCATAAATCAATATAAATCACGCCTTTTTCAACAAAAAACGTTAGAATTCTGTTTGCCACATCAGCATTTTTTAACGGAAAACGTTGAAAAATGGGTGATTTGTATTGATTTATGATTTGGAAAGGCAATTTGTCCCTGCTGTTTTTTTGAGGGGTGGATGTGTTCCTATCGATGTTTTTTAAGAGTGGATTTGAGGGTTCTGCCAAACAAAAAACTTGGAATCCAACTCCCCATCTAACCTCTATTTCCTAATACTCAGACATCTCATAGGATTAGAAACTCATTCCATGAAAGATAAGTTTTCTAGATTCAAAAGAGTTCTAACCTAATGAAATGAACGGATTTATACTAGCTCAAACAACTTATCCTTATGAAGCTCTCTGTGTTGAATAGCAATTTCATTTCTACTCAACCACAATGACCACACTATGGAAAACCATAGCATTTGCCATCCCTTTTTAAGGTTTTTTGAGCCCCTGTGCCATCTATGTTAGTGAAAAACGTCTAGGCAAGTGTTCCCAAGAATATAATGTAAACCCTACCAATTAAGGGATCTCGTCCATAATTTGAAAGAAATATTGCAAGACACAATGAGGTGATCTGTATGTTCAAGAGATGAATCACACCAAAAACAATTGATATCTTAGTTAACTTCTAGAATCCCTTGCCAAGTTAACCTTTGTAGGAATTCTATCCAGAAGTAGTTACCATGAAAAAGCACTCACTTTTGACAGAACATGAGCACCCCAAAGCTTTTGATAGTCCAGCAACCTATTTTCATCTTTCTTTGCAAGCCACTTGTAGGCCAATCTTGTAGTATATTTTCCCCTAGCATCTAGCCCCTAACTCCAAGTGTCATCAGTGTCTTGCACTAGCTTTTTGTGTTTTATAGACTTAACCAATGGTTACAGTTTGTCCTCTTCCCAAGCTCAAAATGGTCTTCTCCAAGGGAATCTCCAAACCCAACACCCATCTATCCAGTGTCCCATATCATAGATGCTGTAATTTTTATTTGTAGCTAACAAAAATAACCTAGGAAAAACATTAGCCAATGAGTCTCCACCCAACCATACATCTTTCCAAAACCTAACACTCTTCCATTCACCCAAATTCAGTATGAAATTTGAATCCAACCACCCATCCTTGCTACCTAAATCTACATTCAGTTTACAAACATCATTCCACCAAGATGAACCTAAACCCCAACCCTCCCTCAACCATGATAACCAATTACCCTCCTCGTCACCATATTTTTCTTTTAATACTCTAGACCACAAACCCTTCTCACCCCCTGTCAATCTCACCCACCATTTGCCAAGCAAGGCCATATTAAACTATCTCAAATTTTTTACCCCTAAGCCTCCCTTTCCTTTACTACAACAGAACCTATCCCAAGATACCCATGCAATCTTTCTACCTTCCTCAACACCTCCCCACGAGAATTTCCTCCTAATTTTATCTAGCTCACAAATTACCTATTTAGGGAAAAGATAGATTGACATCAAAAACACTAGTAGACTTGACAGCACATAGTTAATGAAGGTGTTTCCATACTGAGAGCTTTCTTCTAAATATCTCAATTAGGGGTTTCCAAGTGTATATTCTCCTCGAATTTGCACCTAATGGCACACCAAAATATTTGCACGAGATGAAATCAATCTTACAGTTCAATAGCCATGGCATTCTTCTAACCCATTCTTCATCAGTATTAACTCCAATTAAAGAGCTCTTCCTATAATTTACCTTTAAACTTGACACCAATTCAAAGGCCCTTATAATACATTTAACAATCCAGATGTTATTTTCAATTGCTTCACCCATAAAAAGCATCATCTGCAAACTAAAGGTGGCTAATTCATAAGTCTCCACCACCTATTTTCACTCCACCAAGAAAGCCTTTTGAAACAACTACTAAAATTAGTCCATTTAAAGCTTCTGCCACAATTAAGAATAGAAATGGAGATAATGGATCACCTTGCCAAAGCCCCCTTGACATAGAAACTTCTTTTGTAGCACTTTTGTTAACTAAACTAGACACAATATTATATTTTAAGCATTTTGAAATCCACGTCCTCCAAACTATATCAAAACCCATTCTTTCCATCATGTATTTAAGGAAGGACAAGCTCACATTATCATATGCCTTTTCAAAATCAATTTTGAAAATAAAGCACTAGGACTTACTCTTCTTCACCCCATTAATCACCTCATTTGCTACAACTACTTCATCAACCAATGTCTTCCCTCAATAAAAGCATATTGACGCTCCCTTATAATTCTGTCCAATACTCTACTGAGTCTATTTTCCAACAATTTAGCCAAAATTTTGTAAATGCACTC